TGGCGGCCGGGCTCTGCTTGGAGCATTGTCGCGAAGTCCGCAGTAAACGAGCGGGAATAGCCGCGGCTTTGGGCATTGCGGCGGAAGCAGCACTCATCGTGAGCAGCAGAGGAGCATCCAACGGGAGGATAAAGAGAGACGATGAGAGAGGGAACGAAGGAGAAAGGCAGAGAAGCGAGATTGGAAACCGACGAAGCTGATTCGAGCAGAAGCCGGTGACCTCTTAGTTTTGAGACTCGCTCGACCGCCTCCTGATGGGGAAGACGCTTGGAAGCTTCGAGTCGCTCGCCTCGAAAAAGTTTCCCGACCGGAGCATCATTAATCCGCGCGCTGCGATGATGAAAGCCTGCTTCGGTAATCAAGCACTCGACCGACTTGACCGAAGTGAACTGATCTCCCCCTCGACCTCATTGTGCCCATTGAGCCATCACCTTCCTCTCCTTTTGTCTTCGTTGGGATTTCTCTCTCAGTCAGCTTCCGAGCTACTGTCTTGTATTATATTAATCCCCATCCCCTCTCCTTCCCACTCACCTGCTTCTTTGCCGCCTCGTTTCATCCGCATCTACATTAGTAAAGCTACTAGCATGCTCCGCGGCCAGACTCTCCCCTGGAGAGCCGCACTCCAACAAGCCTCGCGTCCCTTCATCCCTCGACCTCTACTTGCTCCCTCAAGATACAATGTCACCGCCCGATCGATACTAAATGCGTCGCGACTTCACCGCTCCCTCCCGACCTCCCGCGCCTTCTCCTCGAGCTCCATCCGGCGGAGAGAGAAGCCCCCGCCCGGCGACGAAAAGGACGACCCTGCTCAGAAGGAGCAGAAAGACGCAAGCGAGGAGAAGGATGTTGAGCGTGCTCCAGACGCCCGACGCAAGGCTGCTGATCCCTCTGGCAAGCAGGGATCGTCACACGAATCCGGAGCTCCGACATCGGGCTTTGCACGGCGGAAGGAGAAAGCGGGCGCGGACAAAGAGCAACGTGGCCTGGAGGAAGACTCGAAGAAGGATGGTAATGCAGTAGAAGGCAAGGGGAACTCATCTGATACCCCATCCCCTATACCTGTCAATGGTGGCTCCGACTCGAGGCCTAGTGGCGCGAATAATGGTGGCAACGAGGATGGCGGTAAGAAGGGCAAGAAGGGCTCCGGCGAGAAGGCTTTGCAGAAGCCATCAGTTCCCGAAGTGTATCCTCAGGTGATGGCAATCCCGATCGCGAAGCGACCGTTATTCCCGGGCTTTTACAAAGCAATCACCATCCGAGACCCGAATGTAGCCGCCGCCATACAAGACATGATGAAGCGGGGACAACCATACGTGGGTGCCTTCTTGTTCAAGGACGAGAATGCAGATGGCGATGTGATCGAAAACCTGGATGACGTCTATGATGTTGGCGTCTTTGCTCAGATCACTGCCGCGTACCCTCTCCGGGGCGAAGCGAGTGGGGTCACCGCCGTTCTTTATCCCCACCGTCGTATCAAGGTGTCTTCGCTGCTTCCGCCTAGCGACGCTGCCAAGGCTGGTACAACCGAGGAGAAGACATCAGAGCGCCGTGGGGATGTTGTCGCCAGTTTCGAGGAGGGCACTGCCGAACTCGCCCCCAAGGACCACTATGAACCCACCTCCTTCCTGCGAAAGTATCCCGTCAGCTTGGTTAATGTGGAGAACCTTGCGGAGGAACCCTACGATAAGAAGAGTGCTATCATCCGCGCCGTCACCAGTGAAATCGTCAACGTCTGCAAAGAGATCGCGAGCCTGAACCCGTTGTTCCGCGACCAGATTTCTGCATTCTATACGGACCAGTTTCCCGGCAATCTGAGCGACGAGCCCGCTAAGCTGGCGGACTTTGCCGCCGCCGTCTCGGCAGGAGAGCTCAACGAAATGCAAGAGGTCTTGGAGTTGATGAACATTGAGGAGAGACTTCCTAAGGCCTTGGTGGTGCTGAAGAAGGAACTCATGAACGCGCAACTCCAATCCAAGATCTCTAAGGACGTGGAAGCTAAGATTCAGAAGCGACAGCGTGAATACTGGTTGATGGAACAGATGAAGGGCATCAAACGGGAGCTGGGCATCGAGTCCGATGGCAAAGATAAGTTGGTCGAGAAGTTCAAGGAAAAGGCAGAGAAGCTTGCTATGCCGGACGCCGTCAAGAAGGTGTTCGATGAGGAACTCAATAAGCTGGCCCATCTGGAGCCTGCTGCCTCTGAGTTCAATGTCACCCGCAACTATCTGGACTGGCTTACTCAGATCCCTTGGGGACAAAAGAGCGTGGAGAACTTCGGTATTCAGCATGCGGTGAAGGTTCTCGATGAAGACCACTATGGCCTCAAGGATGTCAAAGACCGTATCCTCGAGTTCATTGCTGTGGGCAAACTGCGTGGTACCGTGGAGGGCAAGATCCTTTGTCTGGTCGGACCGCCTGGTGTGGGAAAGACCAGTATTGGAAAGTCCATCGCACGGGCATTGAACAGACAGTATTACCGCTTCTCAGTTGGAGGCTTGACCGACGTCGCCGAAATCAAGGGACACCGTAGGACCTATGTAGGCGCTCTTCCTGGACGTATCATCCAGGCCCTCAAGAAGTGCCAGACCGAGAACCCCCTTATTTTGATCGACGAAATCGACAAGATCGGCCGCGGGCACCAGGGAGACCCGTCTTCTGCGCTTCTTGAGTTGCTTGATCCTGAACAGAATTCTTCGTTCCTGGACCACTACATGGATGTCCCGGTGGATTTGTCCAAGGTTCTCTTTGTTTGCACGGCAAACGTGACTGATACGATCCCTCGGCCACTCCTGGACCGCATGGAGCTCATCGAGTTGTCAGGATATGTTGCCGATGAGAAGATGGCCATCGCTCAGCGGTATCTCGCCCCTGCTGCTCGAGAGCTTACCGGTCTGAAGGAGGTTGATGTTAGCTTGACGGAGGAGGCCGTTGAGGAACTCATCAAGTCCTACTGCCGTGAAAGTGGTGTTCGGAATCTAAAGAAGCAGATAGAGAAGGTCTATCGTAAGGCGGCATACAAGATCGTTCGGGATCTCGGCGAAGATGTGCTCGCAGAAGAGAAGGCTCTGACAGATGAGGGCAAGGCCGTTCAAGAGGAGTCACAGAAGGAGACTGAGTCTCCCGACTCAAAGTCGCCTGTCGACCCGGAGAAGTCCACGACGGAAACGCCTCGCGTTGCGCTGAAGGTTCCGGAAAGTGTGCAGCTCAGTATCGGCAAAGACAGCCTTACTGACTATGTTGGACCCCCCATCTTCACGGCTGACCGTCTCTACGACACCTTCCCTCCTGGTGTGACCATGGGACTTGCCTGGACTAGCATGGGAGGTGCAGCCTTGTACGTCGAATCAATCCTGGAGAACGCCCTGACGCCTCAGTCCCGACCGGGCATCGATATCACCGGTAACCTGCAAAACGTGATGAAAGAATCTAGCCAAATCGCCTACTCATTTGCCAAGTCGGTTATGGCGAAGCAGTTCCCCGAGAACCGATTCTTTGAGAAGGCTAAGCTGCACATGCATTGCCCCGAGGGTGCTGTGCCGAAGGATGGCCCATCTGCTGGTATTACCATGGCAACATCTCTGCTGTCCTTGGCTTTGAACCACCCACTTGACCCAACCATCGCTATGACGGGAGAATTGACCGTGACCGGAAAGGTCCTGCGCATTGGAGGTTTGCGGGAGAAGACCGTTGCTGCTCGCCGTGCTGGTGCTAAGAAGATTATTTTCCCCGCGGACAACATGTCCGACTGGCTGGAGCTGCCTGAGGTGAGTGTTGGATGACAATTTGGGAGTGCCCGATAAGAAGCTAACTTACAATCACAGAACATCAAGGAGGGCATTGAAGGCCATGCAGTAGGCTGGTACTCGGAGGTGTTCGATATCCTCTTTACCGACTTGGACAAAGGTGCTGCCAATAACATCTGGCAGAAGCAGCTGGCTGAGAAGCCCGAGAAGAAATCCAACGAAGTAGAGGAAGACGAGTGAATTACGCCACCAGTCCTCACGCCTTGATGACATACTGTTCTCCAGCTCACGCCGGGCATTGTTTATTTTCTTTCTGGTCACGTGCAAGGCGTTATCCTGTGGAAAGCATGGTTCGGAGTTGTCTTCATTTTCTTGTCACTTTTTCTTCTTTGGTTTCTAGATTCACTTCGTGGCGTTTCGCCCTTTGCTTCAAGTTGTGGGCCATACCACAACACCAGGTTGAAGTTGACGTTCGCCTAAACTGGCTGTCTAGCGGTCCTGATACGACCAACGGCAAACTTGCAGCCTAGCACTCACTCCGCTCTGAGAAAAGAAGATGATTGGAATGGTCCATGAGACCGGCTGTGTATCATTGTTGGATCATGTAATAAGCCGGTTTGGAGGAAGAGGATAGAGCTCTGACTACAGTGCTGCCTGACGCTGTTTTCAGGCTTGCTAATGGACAATATCACATCTTGTATATGTACATACCAAAGCTTTGTCTTTGTTTCTTGTAATAGAGGCTACTTTGCCCAAGCCCTCTTCCTTCTAGACAGCCAAACTATGGCTTGAAACCTAGGTTCTGCCCATATTAGGTAGAGGATTGCCTCTTCACCTCGAAGATATCTGTAATCAAAGGTGAATATTACTGAGGCATGATCTGGCCCTAATGGAGACATCATATCCACGTAGTAGTTGGTCCTCCGGTTCCTACAATTCCACCTCACTTGCCAAGTATGTAAAGAAGTGCGAGAGAAGTATTTGTGTTTCAACACTCATTCACGCGTCCTACCTGTTAAAGGAGAGGCAGGATATCTCATTCACAGCGGCGTAAGTCACGGGACGTCTTTTCTCTTACTCTATAAAGCGCCTCGCAGGCTCTCTCTTGCGCTTCTCTAACTCTCCTCACCTCTCATATCCGTTTCTCACATACCCTCGTATCTTCTCTCGTAACTCACACATCCCGCACATATCGTCGATCAACATCTCTCGTTACCACCCAAAACAAAACAACCGCTACCCTCATCGTCAATCACGATGCAGTTCAATATCCTCTGCGTTCTGACCCTCCTTGTTGCCTTCGTGGCATCCGCGGCCGTCCCTGAGGTCGCTCCTGATGTCACCAGCACTCATGGAAGTATGTAGTTGTCCTTTCTTCTTATGCCATTCGCACAGAAAGACAAGATTGCTAACCGACACTTTCTCTGTATAAAGCCTGGTTCGATGTTGAAGACTTTGACGTGAACGATTTCAAACTTGCTACTCGTGATGAAGGTTCGTGCTTCTCTGTCTTTGTTAACATGACATCCCCTGTAGACACATGCAGGAAACTAACCCCTTCTCACTTTCTCTGAACACAGACGATTCCAATTCTGAATTGGTCAACGAAGACGACGGTGAAACGGTCGAAATTAAGGACAAGAGATGTCATCGCCGTGTTTGCCGTTATAGCTCTCAGTGCTGCCACACTGATACATGCGTTCTGGGCGCCTGCATGGGACCTGGAAAGTGGCCTTAAGTGTGATGCATGTATCCTGTCGACAAACATGCTTGATGATGGCCTAACTTTTGGCTGGCTATCTGGTGTGCATCATGAGTTTATGCTTGATGGATGGTGGTGAAGAAGCAAGCTCGAGTTAGTCGACATGGTTGCTATTTACCTGGGTGGTGTTGTGCTTTCTTTTCATAACTGCCAATCTTTCTCAGCTTAGTCTATGACACTGAGTGGCTCCTCTATTTCTTTCGTGTTACTTCCATTCTCCACTCTTGTTTTCTTTTCTGTGAGTCGTTGTTTGCCGAACAGGGCAATCGTCACCGTGGACTGATCTGTTGTCACCTGCTGCGCGGGACGACATGAGGAACGGACTATGGAGACTTGAGAGCCTAGTTCTAACATTCTCGACTCTTGCTTCTTAATGACTTGATAGTATTCTGGCAATTCTAATCACTTAACCCTTACTCGAGAAGAACCTTGGCCGACATGGCCTAGAATCTATTAGTGTAACCTACTATATCCAACACCATCACCTACAACTCCACTACAACCATAACTGAATATTGATCCGTGATGAGAATACTAACCGCATACTATCACATATGCATAGACCGTCCACTAACGACTAGGATTGTAGATATCGCACCAATGATCATGAAACCTTATCCGTCCTATAGGAGTAAGCTACCTACCCGACCTAAGTACATGTCACTACTACTTACTTACCACTACTGCTACTTCCGTCCGGACTCATCAAGGCGCCCCCCTCTCTACTGGGCCCCCCAGGCTTTGCCCCGGATTGGATGCAAGCAGGGGGAGCTAGTTGGTAGAAAGACCACGACAACGGATCTGACAGGCTGGATGAAGACGGGAATGTGTCATTCGGACTGCCTGGCTATATACCATCCGGGAATCTCCGCATGGGTTGGTTGCCTGGTTATTAACCTGACTTTTTGACCAGATTGACCTGAGTGGTAGGAGTGATGATGGCGATGATGTATGTCCGTCCCATTTACTTTGGTAATGAAGGACTGAGAGTTCTCTGGATTGAGTTCTTGAAAGTCATCATCTTAAGGTTCACTGAGGTCATCGATGATTTTATCAGATGGTATGTTTGGTCTATTCTGACTGACAGACTAATCCCTTAGTTGTATACACTGGAATTTGGACACAGTTGTACAAGAACATGCATACCATGTCAGTAGGCAGTGCAGCGGGCCTGCATATACAACAGTCCCCATGCCATCATCTTCTCTCAAAGCAGGCTCAACCACGACAACAACGGTTTGTCCATCCAGCAACTAGTACTAAATAGCTACTACCTGTACTAGGAATAGCAGCTATGCTGTTTACTGGCACAGAAAATAAAAACGGGGATATTTTACTACGCTACAAGGTGGAAGATAATGATTGGGCGCATCATCCTGAGGTGTTGTTGTTCCTTCGATCTGAATGGGAGCATCACTTTGAAAAAGTAAAGTTTAACCGCGGGGGGATAGCTAGTACCAACTAACTAACTATAGGTAGTAGTATCTATGAGGACCCGACGAGGGTCTTGGTGCCGTGATGAAGTATGAACTATTAACGAAGGATGGGGTCTTCCAGGGACCATTTTACTTATCTTTGTTGGATTATTGGATCCAGGTGTACTACTTCATCTCGTGCCCCTCCCCTCCCTCTTCCCTTGTCTTTCCAGTTCCCCCCTTCTCCATGGCAGCAACCTGGTTATGCACTTGATCGGGAGAGAGAGGGGGGGGGGGGGGGGGGGGACCTGGCAGACAGATGTTTGTACAGCGTGGCCTTGCCTGGTGGTGTTGTTGTGTTTGCGGATCCAGCGATACGCTCGGGTAAACCAGAAAATTTACATCTGGAAGAGTCTAGTGATGATGAGGTGATGGGTGGATTCTGGGGGGGAGAGAGAGGGGGGCCGTCCTCGGTGATAGTGAAGGAGAGTTAGTTAGGAGACGATCGGAGACGAAAACCCGACCAGCTCAGTAAGTCGGATACCAGAGTAGCAGTAGGAGTAACAGTTCGATCGGGAGAGGAAGAAGACAGGAACGAACGGGGAGGCTTCGAGAAGAAAGTTGGGCTGTGCGTCTGCAGTAGTGGATGCCGTGAGATGAATCGAGTAGTGCTTCCAGCCTGCTTGCGGTGGACTTTGAAGAAATCAAGGCGTTATCCGAGGAATCAGATAGATAGCGATTATTAGAGAGTTTACAAGTCGGTTTCCGGTTGTTTCCTAAGAATTTCCTTACTTTTTGAGTTTCTTAGTAGGGTTGATTCCCGATCGGAGTCATACTCCCCCAATATCTACTAGTTAACACACACTTTGTATCTCCCAACGGGAATATACTACTGACTGACTAACCAACTGGTAACTAGGAACAATGCTCGTCTCATCTTTAATTACTACTCCTCCTACTACTACTATTCCCTTTCATCCATCAGGCACTCACTGTCAGGCCGCCGTGCATCTTCACTGGCTCAAAGACGGCGGCTGTGATTGCGGTTCCAGATTCGCTGTCTCGCCATGGCCCAGAGAGACTGACTAGACTCCTCCATACTTAGTAGTATCTAGTAGTTTTTCGCATCATCCTTCGTGCTTTAAATCCGTTTGAGATTTCCATTGGTTTGAGGGTTATTTTCCTACGCAAGGATCCGATTGTGCGTTCGCCGTTTCTTCCATCGGTCTTCCATTGGGCCTGTTCCATTCTGGCCCAGTCCTGCCAATCTCTTTCCCTCTTTCTCTCTCTCACGCACACACTCTCTCTTGTGACAACTAACTAGTTATTACTTGCTTGCTATTATTCATTCCATCTTCATCCTCTCACATCTTCTCTCCCTCTCACTCTCTCTTTCTCCATCACTGCATCTCGTGGGCGGTGAATTCACCAACACTTTCCTCGCCTCCTCTTTCACCATCTCCTCTCACAACTACTAGTCTCCTCTCCTCTCCTCTCCTCTCCTCTCTCTACCACCCCCCCATTTATGGATTAACTGATCGACTGGCTGCGATACTAATCCAATCCTCGGCCTTTCCTTTCCTATTCCTTCAGCCCAACCAGCCTTGCAGCCGGGTGACACCTACGACCAAGTTAGTCGGTCTACTATCGACTCATCCTCGCCCCCATTCGTCGTATTCCGCTTCCTCGTCATCCTTATTTGTCCTGCGCGTCTCTCTATGCCCTCTCTATCCCACTGCATTGTCACTCCCTCTGCCTTTGATCCCCATTAGTAGCAACCTGACAACGACAGCAACAACACCTCCACCACCACCATTACCTCCACTACCCCAGGTCATAAGAACAAGATCGAATTACATCCCCGACCATCATATCGTCACTGTGCGCCCAGTGGGACTCGGTTTGACTGGGCAAAGCAGTGCCTGGACAACACAAACTCGGGTTCTCACCGACTTCTTCAGGGAGATTCATTTCTATTTATTTATATCATTGAATCCGATTTTAAAGTTTTTTTCCTTTTATTTTTCTCTTTCGTTAACTTGATTTTTTATTGCTTATTGGTCTATTTCAGCACAATTTCTCAATTTTGTTTTCTTTGCTTTTGATTCCCTGCTTTCTTTTCTTCTTCCCCTTCGCTCGTCTCATTCAACAGGGCTTTAAATTTAATACCCATAATTACTTCTGTTATTTCCTTTCCCTCTTCGTCAGACCTGTGAGAGACCTCGCACAGGGTTACAGTCACTGCTGACCGCAAGGATTTTGTCGCAATTCTTATGGACATCGCCATTCCATCCCCCTCGGGTGTTCCAGTCGTTCTCCGTACGACAATTTAGCGACCGTGTCGATCCGTATGGCCATCTCCATTGCCGACAGTTCCTGTAGCCCGACGAGGTCGCTCGGTCTGTTGTTGGACCCGGAGAAGGTTGACCTTCCCCGTCCCAAGCAGAGCATGTGGCATCGCCTGGGCCTTCGCAGGTGGCTGGGCCGCGATGATCGAGATTTCTCCTCACATTCCCCCGCTGGCGACGCTGCCCCCACCGCAAATAAACCCAATTCTCCAGCCGCCCACAACGAGCATAATGGTAATCAGAACAGTAACAACCACCACAACTCACCCCCCAACGGCAAGAATACCAACAACAAGCCGCATCACAGCAACAACAAAGCCCACGATAATCTCAAGCGTCGCCTGTCCAGAAAGGTAGGAGTTGGTCTGCCGCGAGCTACTACCTTTAAACGACAGAATTCCGAGCGGCGAGACAATCTATCACCCCTAGAACCCGAGCCCCGTCGTGCAGTGTCTGCCGACCGTCGTCGCGCCGTGAGCTCCCACCGGTCCAGATCCCCACCGCCCACCGTGGACCCCAGACTGTCCGCTCCCGAGGTTCAGTGGCGCGAAGACCCGAGCGAGACCACGGTCGAGCGACTGCCTGAGGCGAATGAGGACAGCGACTTTCTCTCGGAATGGAACCCCTGTCCTGACGTGGCGGAAGCTCCCGAGGAGCTACCGGACGATACGCTCGAGATGGAACTGGAAAAGCGATGGATTTTGAACCTGAGCATGCATTTTCGGGATCGCTCGGAGCGGGAAAAGTTTTTCGTCACGTATGCTGAGACCCCGACTCGGTGGCGGAGAGTCACCATATCCTGCGACTACCGCGGTGCGCCCCCGGACTCCCTGGAACAAGACCTGAGGGAATTGCGGTATCAGCGAGACAAGTGTGCCCGAATTTACGAGTCGATTCGCGAGTCGCTGTCGGAGATTCAGTTTTACGACACAGTCACCAACCTGAAGCTGGAAACTCGCGACGGCCGCCTGCATGTGCACGTTACCGAGGATGTCAACGAAATCATTCCCTATCCGCCTGTTTCTTGCATCGGACATTTGCCACAGGCACGACTGGTCCCGGAGAACCAGCTCCATTTCGACGCGCATCTATCCGGCTTCGTCTACAACGTCCAGTTAGATGGCAAGGCATACATCAAGAAGGAGATTCCTGGGCCCGACACAGTAGATGAGTTTCTGTACGAGATCAACGCGCTTCACGCCTTACAGGGCACCCCTTATGTTGTCCGGGTAGAAGGAATCGTGGTCGACGACCTGCAGCAGGTGGTCAAGGGTCTTCTCATTAGCTATGCAGAGAAGGGAGCTTTGGTCGACATTCTCTACGAGAACCGTGGCTTGATTTCCTGGGAGCGGCGGGAACGCTGGGCCAGGCAGATCGTCCACGGTCTTTGTGAGATCCACGAGGCTGGCTACGTACAAGGAGACTTTACTCTTTCCAACATTGTTGTTGATGCCGACGACAATGCCAAGATCATTGATATCAATCGCCGGGGCTGTCCGGTAGGATGGGAACCTCCTGAGATTGCGGCGAAAATCGAGAGTAACCAGCGAATATCGATGTATATTGGAGTGAAGACGGATCTGTTTCAGCTGGGCATGACATTGTGGGCTCTGGCAATGGAGGAAGACGAGCCAGAACGACAGCCTCGTCCTCTAATGATTCCACCGAACGCACGGGTACCGGACTACTACCGTAGGTTGGTCTCTATCTGTTTGAGTGCCACCCCCCGACACCGGCTGTCGGCCAAGGAACTTCTAGGCTTTTTCCCCCGCAATATGTGGATGACCGAGCAGTCGTTTCCTCCGATACGTCCTGCACAGACAGGCCTCGGCGTCGCCTTACAGAATGGCGCTTTGCCACTGTACGATCCCCGAGCGGCTTTTCTGTATCACCACACGCAGCCTGTAGTCAATGGGGCGTCTTTCGACACTCAATTATCGCTGGATGATACATACTCATTACAGCATGACGGCAGTGACTTTGCTTCTTCTCCAGATAGAGAAAATTACATCATGTCCAGGGAGCAGCAAGCCGGGGTGGCTAGGACAGCGGAGCACGAACTGCTCGAAAGGGAACCCCTATCTGCAGCCCAGCGCAGAGTAAACGCGGTCACCCATTCACCAATGGCTAATGGAGTCTTTCCTCAGACAAATCTGAGAGGCTCTCATGCAGTACACAACACCGTTCCAAGGTATATGGAGGACGAGCCTGATTTGGTCGCCAACGCTCATCCTCCTTATCCGCGACGAACAGTGGACGGTGCAGTTGATCAAATCCCCTGTGAAGCGGATCATTTGCCGAAAGAATTTGCCGGTGTAGAGGGGCATCTATCGCCATCATTGAATCGCTATTCATCCAACAACCTATCGGAAATGGGACGGTCTCAAGAATCTCCAATGTCATCAGCAGATACCCAATCGACAGATTTATGCCCAGCTCACTTGACGGACCTGGGACAGGCGCTGATTGACGACCAACATTGGCCGATGGAAGCGCCGTCGCGTTCCGTTTCTTCACTTCTTCACTCGATACTACCGATTAATCCTGCAGCCAATGTCCCCGACCAGAAAATAATAGACTCAGACGCAGACCGATTCTCGCATCTGAGTATGAGTTCCACCTTGGGATACCCTCACCAAGGCCTCCAAGAACCCACGACCTACTTGAGCGAATCTCATTTACCCATCAATCCAGCATTTACGGAAGACGCCTTAGGCGTCCATATGACAGGAAGGGAGTGTTGAGCCATTGTAGGTAGTGCCACTTGTTCATAGTAGTCATCCATGACTTGCAAGCCATGGGGACCGAACAGTGCCACTCCTGCTATTTTCACTGTACAGTTAGTTCTTTTGAAGCGTTGCTCTACGGAGTATTCAGCGGGCATTACGGCGAATATGGAGTTGGATGATTTCGGGGGTTGCTTTTTTCTTTCATCTTTGTTTTATCTTGGCTTGATCTACTACACGCTGATCATCCCCTCAAAAGCCCTCACGCAGGTTTCCACTACTGCAGTTGCGATTACAGTCTCGGGAGCCCAGCTGCCATCAGAGCAGCGGGAATGTTTCTGGACATGGCGTTTTTTTCGTTTCGTTCATTGCTTTCTACCTATCTGCCTGCCCACTAACGACTTACGACCGGATGGATATTGTGACTTTTTGAACTTCGCGCCGTTTCAATCTTGTACACTGGTTTGTTAATACTATTCTAGGCAGCAACTGTATTAATCTGAAAGGACGAACTATTTGATTGGCCTCTTTTCCTATATAAATAATACATCATATCTAGTAGTAGTATGCAACTTTAATACTCTACTCTTCTCTTCATACATACATTCATCATCATCATCGTCATCGTTACAAACACCCTCATCACCAAATCATCCTATTACTTAGTAGTACTCTACCGACCCAACCACTCCTCCAAACTCCTCTGCCACGCCCTCTCCCCATCATCACCACCCAACCCCCGACCAATCAAAACAATCTTACACTGGTTTTTCCCATCCGCCGGCTCCGAATCCCTAATCTCAAAAACATCCCGCACCGCCTGAATAATCTTCGTCGACCCATCACTCAGCACCAGAATCCCCTTTAACCGATGGATATCGAACCCCGTCGGCCCGGATACTTCCTCCGCAAGCGGCATCACGGAGTCCCAGAGGACGGATTGAAGCCAGGTGTCCACGCGGGATACCTGAGCTGGGGTGATGGGGGGTGTAGTGAGGGCGATGGTTGAGATGGACTGCGAGTAATCCATCCATCAGTAAACGATCAAACCAAGGAAATGAAGGAAAAGGGTCTATACCGGATCCATATGACTATGTCCCTTCTGAGCGAAATCCAACGAATCCAAATGATTATACGCATGCAAATCCAGCACCACGCCCTCTATCTTCGGCGTTTTGCTATGATCCGTGATGTGGATTTTAGCTGCGCTGTTGATGGCCGTTACCCGGTCTTGGACTATGGCGAGTTCGTCTGCTGTGACGAGGTCGGCTTTGTTGATGATGATTACGTCGGCGTGGGAGATTTGCATGTGTGCCATGGAGAGGACGGGGCCGGTGTGCGTGTGCTTGTGGTTGGGTTCGGTTTCTGTTCCGTGGCTGGAGACGGTTTCTTCGGGCGTGGGCTCGTCGAGCAGGTGCAGGATGTTTTTGGCGTCCACGAGAGTCACGATTCCGTCGAGGTAGATGCTGCTTCCTAGGTTGTCGTCGACCCAGAAGACTGGGGCGATGTTGCCTGGGTCGGCGAGCCCGGTCGTTTCAAGCAGGATGTAGTCGAAGGCGCCGCGGCGTTCCATTAGGGATTCGATGGCCATGACGCCGTTGTCTCTGGTTTTTCAAGGTTAGATGGGTGGATGATGGGAGGTAGGTTGGGGGATGGGGGTGTACTTGACGGAGCAGCAGATGCAGCCATTGCCGACTTCCATCCATTCGGTCACTTCTTGACCGTCTTGGTTGACGGTTAGGGGTTTCTCGATGTCGGTTGCTGGGTGGGTGTTAATGGGTTGTTTGTATATGTGTATGGCTTGTCTTACAGTCACCGAACTCTACATTATCTTAGCATTCTATTCTTGTGGCTATAGTGGTGGTCACTCACCGTTCATGATCACGGCAATCTTCTTGCCATGCTTCTCGGTGAGGATATAGTTGAGGAGAGTGGTCTTGCCGGCTCCCAGATAGCCTGACACGAGGGAACATGTTAGTTAATGTGGATCTACGGGATATTTTTTCTTTTCTTTTCTGCTGCTGGTCTACAAAGGAGATGGATCTGCATGTGTGGCATCACATCATACCAGTCACAAGCGTGATGGGCACGCGGTTCTGAGGCGGCGTGTCTAGTGACGTCGATGGCGGGGCCACATCGGGGGCGGTCGAGATGTCAACTAGCTGGGGTGGGGCATCGTCGTCGTCCATTTCGAACGCTGTGTTTTTGCAAGCTGGGGAGAAAAAGTTGACCGGAGTATAAACTAGAATATAGTTAGAATGCAGAGGAATGCTAAGACATGGAGAATGTCGGGGAATGACGTTACCCCAACAGGAACCGCTAGGGCTTAGGGCACCGGCAGTCATTTGGCAGCAATGCAAACCAGACAATCGCGGCCAGTCCCCGTCCGGCCAGCTCCATCTTATCTCCTCATTTCAGCTTGTTGTTGTTCTTCTCCAATTCCCTTTCGTCTCTCCTTTACATTCCTCCTCTTCATTTCCTTCTTTCTTTCTGTTTTCACTCATTTGAGACTCTGCGAATCCTCTCGCTATGGCTACTGCGGGAGTCTCGCAGGCCACCTCTCCACGTCTGCCTAGTCCGCCCCCGTTCACGGAGGTCCAGATCGGGCCCAAGTCACCCTCGGTCGGCGAGTCCTTTGACCACGAGACGGAGCAATTGCTGGGCGCTTCACAAACATCGGAGGATGGCTCAACCAGGAGGATTCGTCCGGGTACTAGAGCTGGAGATATGGCTGTTGGACCGCCTCTGATCCCTCTCTCCCAGGTACGGTTTTCGTAAACAAAGCACAGCTGTCTCAGAGTAGCTCCGCTGACCCAGCCACCCCTTTCTGCGATAGCTCGATTCCCCCTTCCAACTCCAAGAACACCTCAAGGCTCTCTACAATCATTACACACGGCCCGAAGGCTCTGATACGGTAGTTCCCATCAGTCGGGATGTCGCCATGCAGCTCGCGGAACCTCCGGACGGCGTCGACCGGTCGCTATGGCTCTACGAGCTGTGTCGCTTCCTGACTATGAAAGTCAACAATCTCATCATCGCCTTCTTCGCCGACTCTCCTCCCTGCTCCTCCCAGACCTGCCCCGAGATGCGTGCATCCGAGTGGCAGTACCTCTGTGCCGTGCACGATCCGCCCAAATCCTGCTGCGCCATCGACTATTGCTGCCATACCCTCGATTGGGCCACGAATATCCTTACGTCGCCTAAATACTTTCCCAGCCGACTGACTCTCGGCTCGGAGACGGGCGGCGGCGCACAGGCCAGCATGAGACATTTGACCAACATCTTCCGACGACTGTATCGCATCTTTGCGCACGCCTGGTTCCAGCACCGGGAGGTGTTCTGGCAGGTAGAGGGACACGATGGGCTATATATCTTCTTCAAGACGGTCTGCGACATGTACAGTCTCATTCCGGAGGATAATTACACGGTTCCTGCGGAGGCGGAGGGCGTCGATGTTCAGCAGCCGGTCGCGCCGGAGCACACGGACAATCGTCGGATGACAATCTTGCGCAAGGAGAACGAGCCGTTGTCGCTGGAGAGCATGGAGCCAGCGTCGATCAGCACGGGGGCAACCACAAGGCGTCACAAGAATAGCCCGTCGATCAGCTCGAGTGTGACGACCATCAACGAGGGCGCAGAGGACGACGAGCAACCGAGGCAGCAGGCTGTAGCGGCGGCAACGGCGGCGGTTGCAGCTGCGAATGCCGCAGCGGCTGCTTCCGCTCCTGCCCCTGCTCCTGCCCCTGCCCCTGTTCCCACCCCTGTCCCTGCACCGAAGGAGGCCGAGCCAACGCCAGCGGCCGAGGAGCAGCAAAAGTCTGAGCCGGAGCCGGAGCCATCCGTTGACGACAACGGAGCTAAGGTCACTGTTTCGGAGGTACACGCTGACGATGACGAGGCTACCCAGGAGACAACAGAGAAGCCGGAAGAAAAATCAGAGGAGAAGCCAGAGACAGCGGAGCCCGAGGCGGAGCCCAAGGCTGAGGTTGAAGCTGAAGCTGAGGCGGAAGAGCCGGCCAAGCCTGAAAGCGACGCCCCTGCAGAGACAGAGGCGAAGCCCGAGGTAGAGACCGGAACCAAGCAACCGAGCGAGCAAATTAGCGAACAGGAAGCGCCAGCGCAGGAAGCAGCGCAGGAGGCGTAGCGACGAGCAGATTCCTTTCTACTGATTTCTTTTTTGACATGATACATGATGGCATGTGTCGATACCACGGTTGTAATATGTGAGCATGTTTGTGGGGAAGGCTCTGATGTAATATACGAGCGAGTAATGATACCCTTATGAGTGGATTGGACTGCTGTATATGTAGTATAGATGTAGATGTAGATGGTGGTTGGTATCTCCGCCTAACTCCGATGATGTCGATAGCGATGTTCTCCACCGGAAGTAGTCCACCTCATCGTCACCTTCAACACAACCAACCATCCCTCTTCTACAATCAATTGCATATACCACAAACCCATACACCATACACATACATATATACCCTCAAATACCCTTCCACATATACATACATGTCCACCCCCACCCCCACCACAACAACTCCAACAACAACAATGTCCATCCCAACCACCATAACCCAAATCCTCAAAGCCGGACCCATCCACTTCGGCCCCTTCACCGTCACAACCCAGGTACGTCCTCCCCCAGCCCACCCCCAAATATATACGCCGACCCCTCAAATACTAAAAGAAAAGATAGGTCTTCCACCTAACTCCCCACAGCTACGCCCTCGTAAACCTAAAACCCATCCTCCCAGGCCACGTCCTCATCTCCCCCCGACGGGTCGTTCCCCGCGTGACAGACCTCACCCCGACCGAGACCTCAGATCTATTCCTGACCGTGCGGCGCGTAGCGCGCATGATCGAGCGTGTATATGGAGCGTCGAGTCTGAATATCGCTATTCAGGATGGTGCGGATGCGGGCCAGAGCGTGCCGCATGTCCATGCGCATGTGATACCCAGGAAGAGGGGGGATTTGGATAGTAGGGGTGGGATGGATGCGGTTTATGAGATGTTGGATGGGGAGGAGGGGGATTTGAGGGATGTTTTTGCTAAGGATGGTGAGGAGGGGGGGAGGAGGACGAGGTTTCCGAGGGTAGATAATGAGGAGAGGGTGGCTAGGTCGGCGGAGGAGATGGAGGGGGAGGCGTGGAGGTTGGCGGGGGAGATGGAGAAGGAGGATTTAGATTAAAGAGTTTGTATATTATGTATGTATGATGTGTTGTACTTGTATAGAGGGTATGTGTGTATGTGTAGGTCTATTGGAGCTAATATCTAAAGTAAACACTCCCCCAACGCCTCGCACGGAGTGTAATGTAATATGCACAGCATCCGTATCATGGAAAAGAAATAAACGAACAAGACCCGAAAACCCCCATTCTCGTACCATCCACGGTCGTAATCATCACTTTAACGCCGTACTCTTTATCGTACTATGTGTCACATCTGATCATGTTCATGCTTATGCCGTCGCCTTGCTCTTCCAGAACTTCTCGCGCTCCTGCAGCACCGTAGCGGCCCATTCCTTCGTCTCCGGCAACTGCACCTTGTTCGCAACGTGGCAGAACTCCGTGAGGTCGATGTTGTTGGCGCGCTCGTACTCCACCATCTGCAACAGCAGCTCCATCTTGTCGACGTCGTGGACGAACTGTGCCTCCAGAGTCTCGTTGGCCTCGTACTCGTTGAACACCTTCAGAATCTCCTGTCCGGTCAACATGCCACCGGGAACGCCGCCCAGGAGGTTGTTGGCAATGTAGTCCATGACGGCGGCCTCGCGACGCGCCTTCTCGGTCTTGTCGACCCGGTCGACGGGGGTGATGTCGCCGACGAGGGATTCGGCCATGTCGTGGATCAGGGCCATCTTCATGCAGTGGGGCAGGTTGAGGCGGGATGCCAGGGTAGGCGGCGCGAGCATGGTCATCACCGACATGCGGTACATGTGGTCGGAGATGGATTCGCCGGAGTTAATACCGAAGCGGCGCCATCCTTCGCGCTTGGTGGTCTTGAGACGTTCGAGGAGGTGGAAGAAGGGGATCGGAGAGGCGGAGTTCTCCTCTGGGGGGTGAGGGAGGCTTGCCAGGACTGGTTAAGGAGCTGGATGTTAGCTAGTGGAGGGGAATGCTGGAGGAGGGGTTAGATTCTGCTCACCGGACTGGGTGGTCCAGAGGGGATTGGAGGGGTTTTCGGAGCCCATGTTGTTAAGGGAGGTCTGGAGGGGAGAGTGGAAGAGAAGAGTCAAGGTAGAGAAAGGAAAATGAGTTACGACGAGCACGAACAGCAGAGGAGAAGAAAAAGAAAAGAAGGCGAGGAGGAGAAGGAACCGGAGGAGAAAGAGAAACTGCGGGGAGAGAAAAAGCGGTCGAGCGGATTGGTTGGTTTCAGCCAGCCAGCGGATCCATCCATTACTTGCTGCTCTTCATTGTTGATCTCCAGCTCTCCGTTGTTGTTACTCCCTCTCGTCCGTGCAGTTCCTCGACTGGTCCCTCTGTTCGGGTATATTTCAATAATTAGAATGCTATACTACTCTCTTCTCTAACCAGGCATCAGATGTACCATGCAGTCACGAACCCCTCGCCCCAAACCCCCGAACTGGTCCCCTCAGCCTCCCCTCTCCGTTTTCGTCCGCAACCTTCAACTCCTTCAGCTCGATCGCCATGATGACTGGCCTCGCATCTCTCTCCGCTCCCTCGCAGATACGTCGCAGAACCAGCGTCAGCGTATAAGGTCTATAGAATGGGCTCTCTACCACTTGGTTACCCTTTGGGACCCCGACACCGCCCGAGATGTATGTTCCATCCCCTCAGTGGCTTTGATGCCCGACTGACGGCATGCAGAAACTCCGGCCCTTCTTCCCTCCGCTCGAGCCCCTGCAGTCCGTTAATCTTCGTGCTGCTTTATTCCGCGTGCTCTCCGAATTGAAGAAACAGGGCGACCTCGGCAGAGAAACCATTCTTCGCAAGTCAATGCTGGATGACTGCAAAGGAGAGAAATTCGAGGAACTATTGGCCGTCTTCTCTACTGCGGTGCTGCGGAAGACCCTCGCCGCTTCCTCAGATCCGGCACTGCAAAATGTAGCCATGAAGCTTTCATTGGCTTCCGGGCTGACGCGCGAGGAATACCAGCTCATGCTCCCCCTCGTCCTTGCCCATCGGGTCTCCCTAAACCAAATCGGCGAGCGTCGCAACAAAGCCCGGGACACCCATGAAAAGTTCGCCCAATTGCTAGAACTCAAGAAGCTGCAGCTTGACGAACGAGCTAAGGAGAACCCTCCCCAAATCCCCGACACTGGCGCCGACATAGATGCGCTGGCTCGCGACCTCAAGGCTAATTGGCTGGGGGGTGAGGAGTGGGCGGATACCCTTGTCGACGGAGGTGCACAGGGCAGCAGCGACGCTTTTCTGGAACTGCCGTTCGACATCGCATGGGCGAAAGCAAAGGAATCCAGCGTGGATGGCCTCCGTGCGAATTCATCACCGGATCTGCTAGTCGATTTGGAGTCTCGCGTCTTCCGCCAACGTGCCCGGCTGCAGCGCTGGCGCCAGTACAGTGCCTCTATGCGCAAACATGAGCGGGTACAATCTACAAGCTCAACCAAATCTCAACCGCTCGTCTTCCGAGAGCACCAAGCACTCACTGTCGCCAGCATCTCCAAAGCCGTTCGGCAGCCAGTGGAACGCGCCTCGCCCAAAGCAGACGACCGGGCATTGCTCTTCTCCATGAATGAGGCCATTGCCCGGATCAACGGCCGACCCGCAGCGCATCGTCACCGCCATACTCATAGCGACTCGAAATTACGCAACCCTGCAACAATATCCTCCAGCTCAGCAGCCGGGAGCAATAGATCATCTCCCCAAGCCGAAGACACTACCCGCTCAACCACCACAAGAACTTCAACACCCTCCATCCCAGAGCCCCAGCCCAGCGTGCCCTCATTCTCAACCACTGAAGTCCCCGAAAAGGACCCTTCTCCCCCTCCTGAACGAACTAGCAGGTTCACACTCGTAGAACGAACCCGCAAGTCCATGTCCCTCATCGTACCACCCACCCAACCCAGACCAAGAGAAAGTTTCCGGTCCCACCGACCTCGGCCTTCTTATCCCATCAACCAGTTCGAGACGCCCCAGAGATCACACACCATCCCCAGCCGGGCCTCTACACCACGCGACGAGCTCTTCGACGAGGAAGCGGACTACGCCAGCGTATTCAAGTCGCGGCCGCGCGTGGCGCACAGTCCGGTCGCCTCTCCCGCAGTACACATCAGTCCCATTGGGGATTTCGACCTGAGTCCGGACGAGGAAATCGACCTGGATGGGGGAGACGAGGAGTATGTGCAGGATACTCCGTTGGTGTCGAGACGGAGAATATTATGATTGTTACGTCTGTTCATGTTTCGTTTTGTCTTTATCTGATTCTTATGTGTGATGTTCTTTTGGGAGACGATTCTACTTACCTCCCTTATATGCCTATACCTACTACATACGATTAATGTCTATAGATCCTGGAAGAATGCAGTACACGATACAGCAATTGATTATTATTTTAGTGAAGTACGAATACACCATTTTCATGCTTTTTGCCATCCCTATCATTGTCATTATTATCATCCAGTACCTCCGTCCCTGTGCCAATTACATACCACCAACGCCATACATGAAAACATACAGACAGTCATACACACATACAGAATTCAACAGAACAAATCACTATCTATCGACGACCACTCCTTCTCGTACTCCTCCGCGTCGTTGGCGGTGGCGGCGGCGGTGCCACCGGCTCATATTCCGACTCGGAATCAGCATCTGATTCCTCAGAATCCGGTATCTCTACCGGAGACGAGAGGTCTTCCGAGTCAGAGCTCAACGAGATCGGATTCTCCACCTTGCCATCGTCATCGTCACCTTCTTCTTCATCATCACTATCAGCAATCTCCGCATCAACAGCCTCCGGTGTAACAGGCTCAGTCGGTACATGTTGGTGCTGTTGCTCGTGATGATCAACAATCAATCCCCCATCATCATGATCATCTCCCTCCTGACCAGGAAGAAGGAATCCACCACCTCGATCTACGTCCTCATCCTCCTCATCCTCACCAGGCAGTAAGAACCCGCCACCATGGACTTCGTCGTCGGGTTCATCCGGAGCAGGAGCAGACGCAGACGCAGACGCAGAAGCATCCTGATCAGGCAACCGACCACGACGATTCGTAAACGGATTATGAGCATCACGCTCGTGATCCACCCCCTCGTCTGCATTACCACCATACTCCTCCTGCACGCGCTGCTTGATCCGCAATCCGAAGAGAAACTTCCGCCACGTTTGCAAAATACGCGCTTCGGCTTTGCGCTGCTCCCGTTTACGTTTCTCCGCGTCATCCGCTAACCAAGCGTCTTTAACGAGGTCCTCGTTTTCCTCTGCGACAACCACGCCCTGAATAACAGGAACTGCCATCTTCGACCCGAACTCGAACCCCGTGACTGCTTCTGCGTAATCGACGCCGAGTTTCTTGCATACGCGCACGGTTCCAGACCATGGGATATGGACCGCGCCGCGGGGCACCATGCTAGGGACGAAGCAGTCGATGTTGCCGTATTCGTTCTTGGGAATGACGCCATCGCAGATTGGATCGGGGATGATGTATTCCGTTTGGTGGATAGCGTAGAGGCCCTGTTTGGGCTTTTCGCCGTTCTGGCGCTCGAATTCGTCGACTTCGCGTTTGCGGAGGAGAGTGACGGCGCGGATGGGCACGCGTTTCAGGGGCATCTCGCCCTCTTTGGGTCGCCGGCCTTCTTTGTGCCAGCTCTCAGCGGATAGGCATTTCAGGACGTCTTTGCGCCGGAAGACCTTCTCTTCTTTGGCTTTGGCGCCTTTGCCTGTTTTGAAGGTGCGGACGTGGCGTGCGCCGGGTTTGAGGGCTTCTTCGCGCCGGAGGAAGCGTTCGAGCACGAATTCGGTGGATGTGCGCAGGCTTTGAAGCGTGTCGCCTTCTTTGCCGGGTTTGCGTTCGGGTTGGTTGGGGAGGAGGTCCTTGGTGTCTTCGAGGTCGTCGACGGCGGTGCGTAGGGGTGTAGGGCGTTGGTAGACGCGGAGGATTACGCGGAACCAGTCGATTTCGTAGAATTTGCCTTTGCGGCCTGGTATGGGGATCTTCTCGACGGGGATTCGGTAGCCTTTGGTTTTGCCGGGCCAGGTGCGGCGGCGGAGATAGCGAGTTGTCACGTCTTTGGCGGTTTTGTCGGATGAGTAGGCCACGACGTAGCAGATGACTTGCTTCGCCTTTTCGGCTTTGCCGCCGCGAGGTTCGAAGGCTGCTTGAAGTTCCGGGGTCGTGGCGACAGGGTTGCGGAGGATTAGCGGGTCGACGGGGATGATTTGGTGGGTGATGGGCGAGGCGACTTCGGACCAGTAGATGGGAAAGGGTAGGTCCTCGTCGTATTTGCTGAAGTATTTGCTGCGGGCGGACTTTGTGTCGTCTTCGCTGCTATCTGACTCTATGTCAACAGCGTCTTCGGTCTCTGCGTTCTCCGTCGTTTGTTCGGTGTCTGCGCTCGGCTTGGTAGTATAGGTCTCGCTCTTGGTCCAGCCGAAGCCAAGGGGCTGCAGACTGGCGACCAGTCGAGCTTCGATATCGAGCGCACGCAGCAGAGCCGTGAACAGCTGGGCGCCTACGTCTCGAGAGCCCTGCATGTTCTCTGCAGCGTGGCGGAACTCTTCAATGTTGGCTATCCTCTCGCCGTGCTTTTCGGGGTCGTGGACGTCCTTGTGGAATGATTTGATTTGAGCCTCCAATTGAGCCATGGGGCGGTAGCCGTGTTTCCGTAGGCCAGGGGCGGTGATCTTGAACTTGCTCTTCCAGTAGGCTGCGAGGACTTTGAGAAGGATGATTATAGGGTCACCGCTGCTCATATCAGGTTGGCCGGGTTCAAGTCGCGACGAGCCTTCAGCCCAATCCCGTTCTGATTGACGACGCTGTTTCCCTTTTCCTTTCTTCGCCTTCTTCTCAGGAGGCGGCTCTGGAGCCTCGAGACCGGATGCAATGCGCCATTTCTTGACCTCCTTATGTATGGGTTGGGGTAGCTTGCGGCGCAGGATCTCGTGGAGCTGGGAGTCGTTGGCCCAGACATTGCGGATGGCGTTGTGGTGGAGCAAAAATTGCACATGTAAACAATGGGTCTGGATGCGGATCTGGCGTTCGATCTTTGACGGGCCCTTTTTGCCTTCGAGTAGATCAGTCAGGTGAATCTCGTTCTTGTCTAGTGTCAACTCCAGGTCCTGGTGCTGGTCGGGATTGAGGATGGAGGGCGTAACTGGGGTGGCGTTGGCATTGGACTCGATGGCGTCTTCCCAGTCGACCTCGTCGGAGTCGCTGCTCTCCTCATCCGATCCATCTGGTACCTGGGGCGTTTCTGTCTCTTCGGGGACGTCACTCAAGGACGATTCGGTGTCGGTGTCTTCGATGACAGCGGCGATGGGAGGCGTCGCATGACGACGTTTTGCGGCGGGCGGATCCTCGGAAGAGAGACGCTTTCGGGGGACGTAGGGGGGCATGCAAGCAGCGGAAAGCAGACGACTAGAGAATTGGATTGAATCTAGGGAACGATATAAGAAAGAAGAGAAAATGCGAAAGGAATTGGTGGAGGGTTAATAAGGGAGAAGTTGGAGGAAGGAGGAAGTCGAAGGAGAAGTTGGCGCCATCGAGGCTCGGCTTCTCCGCGTCTCTTCCCCATCTTTATCTTTCCCTTCCCCCCACATCATCGTCATCCTCCTCTACTATCCGTCCGCCTGACGAACCATCCTATCCTACTATTCTTTCCATACTATCTGTAAATATCTTCTATCACCAATACAATCTCAAGATGTCTGCTACGATGGATGCCGCGCGCCGCTTCTTCCTGTCGCCGCAGTTTGCCGTGGCGGGGGCCAGCAACGATCGCAGCAAGTTTGGCTACAAGAGTAGGTCCTTTTGCCATCATTTTGCAGGCCGTTGCGCCGGCTGACCAGCAGTCTTTGCCTGGTATCATCAACACTCTCTGCCCGTTACTCCCCTCAACCCTCGCGCCCCGGAGATCGAGCTGCCGTCGCAGACCTACAAGACGGTCCCATCACCCCGCGACTTGCCCAACCCCGACCAGACTTCTCTGTCTATTGTGACCCCTCCCCCAGTGACTCTTGCCCTCCTCAAGGAGGCTCACAGTGTGGGGATCCCCGCTGTCTGGCTACAGCCAGGCACGTATGATAAGAGTGTGTTGGACTTTCTAGATGGTCATTTCGCAGCAGCGGTGGTGGGAGATGGTGGTGTGGGCGGCGAGGGTTGGTGTGTGCTGGTGGATGGCGAGGATGCATTGCGAGAGGCCCATCGCGAGTGGAAGGCTCAGCTGTAGTTAGACTTCATATGAACTAAATAATTAGGAACAATAGTAATATATTGTTGCGGTGAAGAAAAACAATAATAATAAGAATTATGGGGAATGAAGAAAAGTAAAAAAGAAAGAAAGAGGGAGGCTGGCGGTGGCTCTTCTTGTTGGGGACAATCCCGTGCTTTTTCTCCTCTTCTTTTCTTCTTTTCTTCTTCTCTTTTTCCTCCTCATCTTCTTTCTCACCTCTACAACTATCTCCATCGCCCACGTTCTTTTGCTTCATCATATGCAACCCCCCTGCATCTCCTGTCCTTCCCAGCCACTGCTCGTCTCCACACCTTGAAGAAGGATGCCAGCCAGTCCATTCTTCCTCGAGTCCCCCATTCCTCCGCAACTCGATCTGGCCGGCGCTCCATCACAGCTTTTCCAAGTCCCGCCCACCCCCTCAGCCTCATCGGCTTTGTATCGCTCGATCTCTATCCCCAACCGCAAGAGATCCCGTCTAGAAGTTGATCGTCGTCCTTGGCTGGATGTCGATACCCCCTCTAGTCATGTCGCCTCTGTGATCTCCCCCGACGATCTCCTCCTTGGTGTGGAGGATACCTCCGTCGATCAAGTCTATCGCCCCAACCGTTATCGCAAGCCTGCTCGATCCCTCGCTCTCGATGACAGTGTTGAATCTCTCAGCGAAACCGTGGACATTCGTCGTAAACGCAGCCGCTGGGATCCGTCTTTGATTGCAGCCTCTCCCACCGGTCACGATGAGAAAATGACGATCTCGACCACGACTATGACCACGACCGCGACCGCGACCGCGGCTCCTGCCGTCAATACTCCTATTGCTTACCCACAGCCTGCTCCCGTCCGCTGGAGTCGAGCGGTGCTAGGCGTGGTAGGCAAAGTTTGGGACTTTTGTTGGAGCGGAGCTTTCCGAGGGTTTTATGCAGGCGGTGGGCAAGGCTATACCATGACGGCGGAGGATGCACAGCCCCAGCTGGCATCCCCATCGATCGAGAAGGAGAGCATGCCCACTTCTCAGCGGCAACAGGGTTCCTCTAGCCCTTTTCCGGGACAATATCCAGAAGATGATCTCAAGCACAGTTGGGTGATCGTGTCCGCACGAGAGGAATTTATGGACGAAGCCAGTCCTTCTCAGCGCAGACGAGTCCATCGTCGGACCCCAGCACATACCCACTCTCGTCGGCGATCACAGGGCAAGCGAACGCTGATTTCGCATGCGCCGTCTATGCCGACGAAATCGCAATTCTCAACACCAGCGAAGCCGCGGGAGAGCCCTGTGTCTGTGGAGACGCAACGCTACATGGCGCAAAAGCGCCGCATGGAGCGTGAAGAGGATGCCAGCCTTGCCCGGTTGAACCGGCAGCTACAAGCAATGATCAAGGAAGGGAAACAGGCACTGGGGACGCGCGTGGAAGTGGACGACCTGGACATGGAGGATTAATGCGCTTTTCTCACTTTTACTTTTTTTTTACGACATGTGTGACACAAACCTGATACCCTTCGTTGAACACCTATATGACGATACTTGACGATTGGCGACGCTCGTTACGACTACGACTCATGAAACCAACCGATAATGACTGGCGTGGATCTTTATTTTCGAACCGATTGCGCGTGTGATACGATATTGTTATAGTTAGCTACTATTAGGACAAACAGAAACCAATCCAAAAAACCATCCGCAGAAAAACACGAGCCCTGTAACTGCATCAATCATTCATCATCTCATACCCGATCTCCTTCCATATAACCCCCAACTCTAGTGTGTTTCAGTCCCATCCTGCACTCCAGCTCCAACACCCGCCGTATCCTCAGGCCCATAGATAGCATCAGCCGGGCCATCCCCGTTATTATCATCATCAACCCCATCAGCCGGACCATTTCGGTTGGGAGCCGCCCCTACAGCAACATCCAAAGACACAGGATCTCCACTACCACCACTACCACGCCCGGGGTTATAAGGAGCAGCCCCTACGGCAACATCAAAAGAACCGGGTCCATCATCAATACTCCTGGTATCATAATTCGCAGGAGCAGTCGCTTCAGCAGGACCACTATCCTCATCAGCACCAGGTCCCTTATCATCACGAGCCGGAACATCATCAGGATCCTCATCACTGGGATCCTGAGTATCCTTCTTTGGACTAGGATTCAAAAACGGCAGGTGCACGCCAGACAAGAACCCAGAGAGTCCACCATCGTTGGCTAGTCCGTCGAGGAGGTTCTCGCCTGAAAGACGCGCCGCTTTGCTTGTGGACTGGTTGGTGGATTTGTTAGCTTTGCCTTTCTTTTGTCTTGATCACTAGTCATGGTGTGAAGTGATTTGAGATAGACGTACAGGAACCGGCATTGCCACTACGCCCATGACAAGGGTAGCGGGCACGGCGAGGGTGAGGAACTTCATTGTCTTTGTTTTGTTCTCTGCTTCTGCGGTGGGTAGGATAGGATCCAAAGTGGATGGATGGATGAATGAAGGAATGAATGAACGCCTGCAAGAAAAAAAGAAGGAAGGAAAGAATACTCAGTAAAAAACGGGAATAATACCCGCTATTATATCCTCTGTTCTATCTCCATAATCTCAATAATGTGGTAGACAGATATCTGGCATGCTACGCGTCAGTATCCCATCCTTCCTTCCCTCCCACCCTGCCCCTTGATTTGGTGGGCGGGCGAGCGAGCGAGCGAGCGACGCGGTGTCCTGCATTCCTTTGTCTGACAGTCTATCTACTATCTGGTAAATGTATGGGCTGCTGGCAGGGGGGATTGAACATAATACTTACTGTCTTTCTACTTAACCCACCCCTTCCTTTTAAGATAAGGCTTGTTTGTTCTTAGCTCAAATATAGAGTTGAGTACAGAGTACACTAGTATACGAGTGGCAGACAGGGTTTTGTTTCTCTCATGTCTTGACATTGGCCTCAGGGATGAGTTGAGTCAGTCCTTGTGTTAGATTTCACTACTCCTGTGGTTGACACGGATAGGTCTGGTAGGTAAGTAAGGTAGGGTTACGCGGTAGGGATGAAAACGAGCCCAACAATTTTCAAAGTCCGACTCAGTCAAATAATTGTACTTGGGTCATGGGGTCTGTTCGGATAATTCCGATTGTTGGTTAATGTCGTGCTTGTCATTGTGCCTGTTAAAAAAAAAGTAGTTGAGAAATGAGGCGCATTTTTGTGTGAGGGGGAAGAGGAAAGCAAAAGGAAGGGGGGCAAAAAAAGGGCAAAAAAATGACCTACGCAGGATTCGAACCTGCAATCTCTTGATCCGTAGTCAAGCGCCTTACCATTGGGCCAGCAGGCCAATTGATATATGTTTGGACTTTATTTGTGCTTATAAAGCTACATATTGTGAATTGACAATGTTGACTGTTCAATGGTAGTTGCTTGAGATGATGCTTTTTCTATTTCATCACTGCTGTTGTTGACAGACCAAAGTGGGATTTTTCCTTAAGTAGTGATTCTTCTCCGAGGTGTAATTCTTGTAGGTGTTTGCAGTATTTACCTTGTATTGAGGAAACAAAGACAACGATATGTAACATAGTATTGGATAACCCATGTCCTCCGTGCTGCACATTATCACTTCGGTGTTAAGTATGTCCGTGCAGGTTGAAACATAAACATCAATAATCGTAAAAATCCAACGCTAACCAAACGCCATCGCTATGCTCACAGTAGTGGCCAAATAAACAAAAATCATGTCATCCGCGGCTGAAACTTCGGATTCGTCCGGATTCTCTCACCATACTTGAGTAAGAAAAGTGAAGCCGGGACAAACAAAAGTGCAATAAACGCGAGCAGACTGTTCCCCCATCCTAACCCGAGGGCATCGTACAAAGGAGTGCCCGCCAGCGGGATTGTAGCCCCAAAGAGGCATCGCAGAGCCAGCTCCGCTGATACCGCGCTGGCAGCATATAGAGTATATGAGTCAATCAGATACACCTGTGTGACCAGATGAACAAAGAAGATGCCTGCGCCCACGAAAAAGGTACCAGCAATGGGTACCATCCAGTGCAACCGGTATTCTGCGGCCCAGCCGTACCAAAAGAGACCGATCGGCACGAGAATGCATCCCACCACCAAAGGTGGAAGACGATCTTCGGGCTTCATCTTGCCATGAATCTTTTCCTGCTTCTTGAGGTATCGATCGGAATAGTATCCCACAACGACCTGTCCAGAACAGAACCCAAGACCCAGTCCCAGATAGCCGAGACCTGCTTCTCCGGGAGTAAAGTGGTACACATTCTCGAAGACGCTCGTAAACGTCGTGAACAGTGTGTACATATAGCTGTATGTGATGGAGCTGTACAATGAAACGATCATAACGATGGGTGATAAGAACAGAAACTTGATCGGGCGGCTGATTGAGATCCAGATAATCTGGCCAATCGTCTTGTCCAGGTCGTACTGAGTGCGAAACGGACGTCCAGTCTCTTTTTGGAGTCGCTTCGCCTTTCGCTGGAGCAGAGTGGGTGCGTATGTCTCCCGCAAAAATATCAGGGATGCAATCACGATGATACCGCCCTAATCATATTAGAGATTCGTCCAACACCACGGGGTCGAGCTCACTTACAAGAATCGCCTCTACCCAGATGGTCCAGCGCCATCCAATGTTTTGGACAATGTAACCACCATAAATAGGTCCTGTGACCATGCCCTAACGTAAATGTTAGATCCGCATTTATGTATCCGCTGAATGGGTAATTTCAACTCACCATGAGTGGACCAACTGTCCAGATCGTCATTGCCGTCCCTCTCTTCTCCATGGGAATCATATCCGCAACGAAGCCGCCGCCGACCGTCACAGGCACGGAACTGGCTATTCCCATAACGAAGCGTGCCATTATGAGCATTGATATATTCACACTGGCAGCGCAAACAACTGCAGCCAGTGCAAAAAGTACATTGGCCAGGTGTGTCATGGGAAGCCTTCCACTTATCTCAGTGAGAGGTGTCAGCACCAGAGGGCCAAGAGCAGAACCCATCACGTAGATCGATATCATTAGAGATGAAATGGATGGGTTGTGAACATTGAACTCTTTCAGAACTTGCGGAACGCCGGGAGCGAAGACCGTGGATACCATGGATCTACAACAGTCAATTCAAATGCTCGTACGGATGCATACTCTTAGCGTAGACGTGTTGGACTTACACATTGAAGCTGCTCAAAGATATCAGCCCGATAATGACCCATTTCCGCAAGGTGGTCCAGTTCATGGGGTTCTGGGGGTCGTTTGGCCCATCCCAGTCCACAACGAGGTCGTCCTTGTTCTGGGGGTCGTCCGATTCCAATGCACCATCTTGTGATCTGATTTCTCCTTCTTCAACGTGCACAATGTCCTTCTCCACAAAGATCGTGTCAGCACTCTCCAGGCTAGTTTCCTGGCTCAGAGCGGCGGAGTAGTCAACATCCCCGGGTGGCGCCGTAGGCATGTTAATGATGGGGGTGGTTACACGGGGATAGTAAGAGCAGCTGGAAGATCAGGGACAATGGCACCAGATGATTTTCGACATGATTTCCAACAGACAACCAAGGCAATAAGTAGCTTGACAGCCACGCTGGGAAGACAGACAAACCAGGTAATTTGAGTAGATCATTGCAGACAACGCGCGTCCAGACAGTAGATGAGTCTGGCATTCCGGCCCTTGCTGTCCGTTCCGTGGGTCTCTCGTGGCTCCCTTTCTCTGATTTTGGGATTACCTGTCGCAAAATTCGCCCAAGGCGGATTGTAGTGGATACAATAGGCGTAAGACGGATCATCTAACATAGGCAGGGGTAGTAGCACCAACGACAGTAATGGATTCCTTGCGTGACCAACTCGCCTCTGCTCCTTATCAACGTTTGCCCCATTGGGATGGAGAATAAGCCTTATCCCAAAGAAACTACTCTCTGGGTAGCGCTTCAATATTCCCCACATGATCCACCATGGCGCAGAGGTCCCTGACCCGGTTCTCCATTTGTCATTCGCAGATCGACATATCACTTCAGGGATCAGGAACAGTAATCAGATCCCATAGGGTAACTGCTCCCGGGGAAACCTTTACAGTATGATCGCGTGGCTTTGGTCCCAAAATAGCTGAAATAAACCTGGAATTAATTTCATCTATTGTCGAATATATGCAGCCACAGTTCGAGACCAAATCCTGTATCCACTGAGGGGTGTCTCTAAGCATTCGCCGTTAATTAGGTGATCAACTAAAATATGGCCGAAATAGTCTCAAAGGTTGGGTCTACACAATTGGAGGAGTAATTCCGAAGAGACCAAGTAGCTACTCTTCTGCAGCTCCATGGGTGTGGTGATAGCAGTAGCGATGTTAAGCCTGAGTCTAGCTCCGCGCGGCCCTGAAACAGGCTTGTCAGAGGACTGAGCTCATACCTGAAGGCATCAGCCATGGCATGTTTTGGCCAAATATGTAGATCAACCATCCGGATTGGTAGTCCTAGCTCAGATCCAGAAATGCTTGGTGAAGACACCTCAGCAGACGATTCTCATTATAGTACAGTACTATTGGACGGAAGGCGGGAGATCTCCCGGTCGTCCCAGTCAACGCTTGGGCATTCCTCCCAAGTCCAAGATGTCCACTAACCGTCGCATATATGATCGCTCGTTGTGGCAAGTCAAAGGCGTGATACAGATCTTCAGGTCCACATCCTAGTCAACATATAGACCGAATATGCAGATGGAGCTGCACCAAAATAGAGGTTGCTAGAAAGTTTATTGTCCGTCCGAGGTCAAGCGGTTAGAGTTTATCAGATTTCCGCAGCCCCGGGCTCAGTTCTAGCCCGACAGCATTGAAGTCTGGACAGCAGTCCTTGGGGATTCTACCCACTCTTAACGGCGATCTCCCTATGGGAGCCTAATCGATTGGTGACAGCTGGTGAGATTTATTGCCTCGGGTGGGTTCGGGACCACGGGCTAGAAGCTTATTCAGATTCCGATGTACCAAAATTTGGGGTTTATGTTCCGCTATGATGCGTTGGTTTTGCTGCGGATATGCGGCGCTGCACAATTCCTTCCGTTGGTGTTCTCTTCGAAATCTCGCCTTATCAGCAGATGGAGATTGAGAACTGCAGGCAGCAGGTAGTCTCTCTATGCAATGTACATCCCGCCACTTGCTGCAGCCACAGTGGACCTTGCTACCCAGTAGCAAAGTGTAATTAGAGGGTGGCGAGGCCGATTCTTGTGTGCACATCTTGTAGGTCTGTGGCAGATTGTTAACTCCCGAGTCAGAATACCGAGTATTCGCCATAACTCACGAGGTCAAGGCCACACAATGTGCTTTATCGGGAGAAGCAAAAGTCTCATGTGGATGGCACGAGGATTCAGCGAGAGACGGAAGTCTGCAGGACTGATGAAACTCGCATTCGCAGGGACCGTCCCGTGATCCGTTCCTTCCTTGGTATGCAGAAAACCTCCAAACATCCACCGTCTGGAATTTCAGCAGTTCGAGATATATCTCGGGTCGGATTACGACTACATCCTACTCTTTCTTTTCACTGCTAGTTACTGTTACCCGATTAGGGACACAGCATCAACGTGAATAGAGTCGCGGGTGATTGTCGGGTCGCACCCACAGAATGCTCTGTGAGACTGAGAAATGGCCCTTTCCATGTCAGAAACACGTTTCGACTAAATTGATCAACCTTACCCGGGCTGCTTCATTTCCGCTTAGTCTTCATTGAAGGAGCCAATTGCCAGTTCAATGACCTGCACGGTGCTGGTAAGTTCTTCTCCGATCTATATACTACTATATATAGATGGTCCCGAATCAGCCCGAAGATCAACATGCGGGAGAGCTTCAACTGTGAGTACTGCTGTTTCCATGTCTAGTGAAACTTTCGTTGCTCAGTGATGGTACTGAGCTATCCAGAAGTCAAACCATCACAGCACCAATGCTCGAGCTATGCACAATTTTCAACCAGGTCTCCCGGCCTCAAATCATACAACCACATTATTGAAAGCTGAACATACCCCGGGAGGGACTCAAAATCAAATGACAGAAATAAAATGGCTTGAACCGTTTTATATAATGGCTCATATACTGGCACTGTTTGTATCCAATCGTTCAACGTCAGATTATTGAAGTAAGAAGAAGCGTCAGGACTAGTAGATGACATGTCTACAACGCATCGTATTGGCAAAAGTGAGTCAAAACTCCTTCTTTTGCGGATGGAATTCTGACGTGTAATCCAGTGAGTCAGTTAGGCCTAACAAACCGGTCCCAAACCTGGGGCAGAAGTCCTCCTAGTGTCCAGATTCACGGATGCCACCAAACCCTTATGCCATGATAATTTATATGTACAAACCATGCGGTCATCGCCTCAAAATCTGCAAGCCGTCTCGTAGGAGCTGGAGTTGACCCGATAACGTCAAAATTTCATGTTCATTTTCATGTCATCTTGTCACCCGTCTACGCGAAAACACGGGTTTCCGTGGTTATTTGAGCGCTTTGGCACGGAGATGACGGCTATACATGGGTCTATAATCTTCTCAGGCCGTACGCTCATACATCATCATGAGCTGGCCACTCACAGCGAGAAACATACTAAGTGTCTTTTCCAGAGCTTGTCGTGTCTATCCGTCTTCATATACCCACCGATACTACTACTTCCATCCACAGTCCAGCACGATACCGAGAACAAAGCTCGCGATGGATCCACGCCCAACTCCTCTTCCCACACCACCTCCCTCACCCCAGCCTGGACCCCAACCGGGACCCCAACCTGGACCTCAACCGGGACCTCAACCGGGACCTCAACCTGGGCCTCAACCTGGACCTCAACCGGGACCGCAGCCAGGTCCTCAGCCAGGTCCGCAACCAGGTCCGCAGCCGCCCCAATCAGTTCAAACTGCATCTGAAAACAATCTCGATGAAGATTTCTCGAGCCAGTCTGGTTTCATCGGTCAAGATGCAGAGGCACAAGCAACCCCGGGCCCCAACCCACCTCCGCCCACCTCAACCTCCACTCCAACCACGAACCCCAGTCAAATCATCACTGCAAAGTCTGCCGTGGCATCCGCAGCCAAAGAGCTGCGCTTGATTAGGAAGATGTTCGAGCCCGAAGAAGGCGAGGCGTCTTCGATTCGAGCGGTTCCTCCAGAGGAGCAAGGCGGCAGCAGTAGCGGTGGCAGCAACGGGGACCCGTCCACTCTCTGGCGCGAGTTTGAGAATCTCGAAGTTCACGCCGCCAGAGGGGTGGAAATGGAGGTCGGGGTGTTGAAGAACCTCCTGAAGCAGTTGGAGATATTACTGGATAACGCGCGAAGCCAGTTGATAGAACTGGAGGCGCAGAAAGCACTGTTGGAGACGTTGCTCGCGATCTCGAAGTATCGGGGCGAGGTAGAGGATTCAAGTTCGAAGAAGGGTTAAGGAGTACTACTTTACTACTTCACTACCTTCTAGTCACTCGCTCATTTGCTTAACGGCTATATTGTTTCTGGTTCACCTTGCTTATCATTCGTTTAGACCAAAACAGAGCCCAAAGAACTATACCCAACTATACCCAACTCGTTAAATTACTTGCTTAGTTGAATCTATTGCTATTTTCTACATACCACATCCCCCACAAATACACCTATACCCATCTAATTATCAAACGGCAACCCCGCCTCCTTCCTAACAGACCCATAAACCGCCGCCACATCCCCCTTCACGCCCTTCTCCTCCTTAACATTAACCAAATGATGATCCGTAACCTCCACACTCCTCAACCTAACCCCCGCCTCCCCAGCCAAACTACTAGCATGTCTCAAATCCTTCCTCGCCAAATCCACCGCAAACAACGGCTCCTCCCTCCGACAATAATCCCCAGTAACCATGCGATCCGCATACAACGCAAACGGCCCAGGGAAAAACGTATGCAAGAACTGCTGATACACATCCGCCCCCAACCCGGTCTTCTCCGCCGTAACCAACCCCTCCGCCACAGTCTCCACGGTATTCAAGATAAACGTGTTTCCGAGGATCTTCAGCGTCGTGGCACGGCCCACATCCTCACCCGCCATGGAGATCGTCGCTTTGGAAGTAACCCCATCCAGGAAGGGCTTGATGCGCTCGATGGCGGCGGCGTCACCGGCGGGCACGACGACGAGTTGGCCCGAGATGGCGGCCGCGGGAGCGCCGAATACGGGACAGGCGATGAAGGAGGCGCCGTGCGAGGCGAGTTGGCTGTGGATCTTGCGCGAGGTGTCTGGGTGCACGGTGGAGCAGTCGACGATGATTTTGGAGGAGAGGGAGTCTGTCGGGAGGCCTGAGATGATGGCTTCCAGGGCGGCGTCGTCGCCGACGCAGATGAAGATTATGGTTGAGTCGGAGATGGCGGAGGAGAGGGTGGTGCTGACGGTGGCTTTGTTGGCGGGGAGGGTGGATGCGAAGGAGGTTGCTTTGCTGGTTGTGCGGTTGTAGAGGGTTATGGGGGCTGTTTGGGGACC